CTCGGCCTTCATAACGATCACAACGACCCTTCCGCGTTGTCCACACCAGCTTTCGACCCACCCAAAAAAGGGCAACCACATCGTGCTAGAGCATGTAGAGAGATCTCATTCTCTCCCTTCACCTCTCCGGTCTTCATCCCCCCAAAGCCATTTGTCCTCCCATGGATTTGACCCACAGTCGATGCCGTGCGTGTCCCACCGGATCTAATCTCGACATGTGCCTGTCCATGTAGCACTCTCGCAAGCTGTTTTCGCTGCTGTTCACAGGAGAAAGTGGCCAGCCTGCCAGCTCCCTGCGGTGGATCACATCACCTTAAGCAGCAAAATCACGGATCTACACCCGACGACCTCATCAAAAGCGTCTTGCTGACCACCATACAAGCCGGACCTCCGTACATCCCCACATTCACCCGTGTCCCAACTCTTTCTCCTTCAACCTGTGTCTCTTCTTTCTTCTTCCCCTTTCACTTGTTTCGGTGGATCCTGGCACGATGGTTGGTTTCACAAAGCCTCTGAACATGGCGCTGGTCGCTATGGTCTTTTTCGTTCTCTGCTTCAGCGAGCCAGCCTCGGCGGGGCGCTTCTCGCACTCTCCCCGTCCTGCGCACCATCACATTCGGAGGGCTCTGTTGGCAAGATGTTCGGGCGCAGACTGTCCGGAGGGCAACTCGACGCTGGGTCCGTACGTGCAGGATCAGGTCAAGAAGCTGTCGTCCGCATCGGCGCAGCAGGGTGGCCAAAAGATGGTGCAGAACACGGCCTTGCCGGGCAACACGCAAGTGCACGTTGAGGCCAAGTCGGATCAATCTGGAAAGTCGCGATCGTGGTCGTGGTCTTGGTCGTCGCACACCCGCTCTTCATCGTCGTCGTCCTCTTCCTCCAACTGGTCGAACTCGCACCCGTCGTCCTCCGATAATGACTCTTCTCATCAAGCGATCAATAGCGATGACGACGACGACAGTGGCAACCAAGCCATTGGCACGCCGGACCATCACGATGATGGACAATCCAAGCAAGGGCAGGAGCAGGAGCAGCAGCCGCCACAGCAGCCGCAGCCGCAGCCAAACTCGCAGCCTCAAGGCGTCATCGTCCATACCGAGACCAAGTCGGGTCACAGCCAGCATTCATCCATCTCAAAGCATTCAACGTCGAGCACGACCGAGGACAAGGATGGCAAAGTCACGCGCCGCACCTCGAACACCGAGTCGTCGTCTTCGTCTTCGTCTTCGTACTACAGCCAGTCTTCCAACGTGTTCCATTACGTGATCAGCGGCAACACCGAGCGGTGGAACAATGCCGCTCCCTTCACCAACCCTCATGTCGAATGGACGCGATCTTCAGCCAAATTCTCCATCAGCTCAGCCTCGGGCCCGCACATTGATCGACCAGCCAGGGCCGACACGTGCAACCAGAAATTCCCCTTCACCAGCCAACAGTTAACGGCGAGCGACAAGGAGCCTCGCTTCACCAAGCCGTTCCCCAAGGAAGCGCTGGATCCGGTCTCGAAGATCGCTCTGGACCTGCACAACGCTGAGCGGGCGCGCTACGGCCTGCCGCTGCTGCAGTGGAATGCGGAGCTGGCCAATATGGCGTCGTGCTGGGCGGACCTCAAGGCGTACGGCCACTCGGAGGACCACTTTTGCGCTTCGGGCGAGAACATCGCCATGGGTCTAGGCAATCCGTGCTACAGCAACCCGATGGAAGGGATGAAGAACGCGGTCTACTCGTTCCTCGACGAGGACCGCAACTGGGCGCAGAACCCGCACATGACCGAAGCCAACGGGCACTGGACGCAGATCGTGTGGAAGGAGACGCGCTTCGTCGGATGCGCCGTCTCGCAGCGCAAGGACTTTATGGACGGCTACGACCCCAACGACGACCAGGCGTCGATGTACGTCGTCTGCGAGTACTATCCGCCGGGCAACGTCGAGGGGCAGTTCGACAGGCAGGTGCCGCTCGTTCGTCCCATGCCTCAGCTGCGCTCTATCTGCTCGGCCAACGAGAGGCACGGCAGCTAGTCGGCGCCTTTGAGGGCATGTCGGTCTCGAGGATACGAAGCTATCTTGTCACGTTGTCGTTCCTTCCCCCTCGTATACCTCCAAATGCCTTGGTCTCACGATGATCCTGGTGGTCCGGCTCTTTACATTCTTTTCACCTTCTTTCTATTCTCATAGTGCTGGCACTTGTTCATGCCGAGTTCGTCTGGAACGAATGCAGGTTTTCTGTTTTCTCCCTGTCCGTGCCTGCGAAGCGTTGGGTCGACCAAGACCGTTGGCCTTTGTGCGACTTGAGTGCTGTGTGTATGTACGCAATATTCCGCATCAGCGATGCAACAGATTCTATCCCGGCTAGCTCAGTCGGTAGAGCGTCAGACTCTTATACACAAGGGTTTCCGAGTATATCTCGGAGTTTATCTGAATGTCGTGGGTTCGAGCCCCACGTTGGGAGATTCTTTTTTGTTTGGTGCTTGGAACTCAGAGCGTCGCGTGTGAAGAGGCTGGGCTGCGCGTCATCATCGCCTTGAGTTCGGATTTTTTTTCTCCCTTTCTCAGCCGGCTGCGACTCGTGTGATTTGTTGGACCCTGAAATGTCGCGCTCGTGACGAGACTCAGGACATCGATCATCTTCGCAACAACACGGACGACGGACAGCACGATGGCGCAGTCTCTGCCTGCCACACCGGAAGCCTCCTCTTGATCGTAGCCGCTCGATCTGCCTACTGCCAACAGCAGCTTCCTCCACAAAGCACCGTCGAGCGTGGAATGGCCCACTCGCCACTCGGAGCGTAACGGTCGAGATGCGCGCCACTCCGGTCGCCAGAGGCATTCGCGGCATCTTCCCGCTCATCCGAACGCTCGCGCCACACGCCATCTCTCCACCCTTTGCGCTGCCCGCCCTGCGAGGATTGCGTCTCGCCATCGATGCGACGCTGCTCGTGCAACGGCTGCACTTTGCCGACGACCCGCACGCGTCTCGCCACGTCATTGGCTTTTACCGCCTCATAACGTCGTTGCGCCAACACGGCGTGATACCGCTCATGGTGTTTGACCATCCTCAGAAACGGCTTGCGCTCAAGGATCGCGAACAGGTGAAGCGCAGACACAAGCGCGAGCTCGATCGCATCCGCAGCAGGCTCGAGCACGAACGACGCGGCCGTCTGCTCGAGCTCCAAGCGCATCTGGACGCACTGTCCGAGCTGCAAGAGGGGGAGCGTCGGCAGGTGGGAGAGCTGCTCGAGGGGTGGCGGTCGCAAGCCGAGCAGGTGTTGCGGGATGATGCGCTCGCTCCTGCAGCATTGGAATATATAAAGTCGCCGCCACCACTTCCAGAAACACCTTCGAGACCCGAACAAGTCGCCCACAGCATGCACATCAACTGGCTGCAGCTCGAGGAGAGCTTGCGCGCGGGAAGCTCGAGCCAGTCCAAGGGCCAGAAAGTGCTCGCCGAAGCCGAAAAGCAGGTCTACCAGACCATCGCCACGCAGCTCATGTCCGGCGAAGCGCCGCCACCGCTGCCCCTACCCACCTCCCCCAGCGACGTGCTGATCGATGCATCCCCCGACACCACCACCACACCACACCCCTTGTCCTCGCTCAACGCAATGCACCACTCGCTCACCAAAACATACGACCGCGCCACCACTCCGCTGTCCGCGTCGATCTACCAGGACTGCGCGGCGCTGTCGTCGCTCATGGCGGTGCCCGTGTTCTGGACGGGCGACGGCACGCGCACGGGCGGCGGACGCATCCACGAGGCGGAAGCGTACGCGGCGTCGCTCGTGCGCGCCGGGTTTGCGGACCTCGTCGCGAGCGAGGACAGCGACGTGCTGCTGTACGAAGCGCCGCTGCTGCGCGGCCTCATGGGCGGCGTGCGCA